ACCCATCACCCACACGAACCAGTACACCGCAGCCGCCCCCACCACCACCGCCGTCCACATTGCCGTCGATACCTCCATAGCCTTCTCTGTCTCTATGCTATTCGTCCCTCTTTGTTTCTCCTCCTATTCAAAAGAAACGGAGACCGGACCGAGTGGATTTATCGACGGAGATCGATGCGGTATGAAAACCGCCGGAACAGTTTAATGGTGTCAGGTCAACATTGCCGAATAATGGTTCAATGTTTCCGTTTCGAATCTATGTATAGTATGACCGTATTTGGGCGCCGATCTGTGCCAACAAACAACTCAACCTCTCACCAACAAACTCACTGACCCAACAGCGCACCCTTTTATCCTGGCAACGACGATGACGATGCTCGTCTCTAGCCTGCGGTCGGGTGTAGTTGCGGGTCTCGTCTGTGGGATAATAATAGTTTGATCGAATCTTATATCTTGTGGAGAGCAGCAGTGGGTGGGAGCATGAGGTGGCGTCCGGATGGCAGATCTTTTCCTTCTTCTTTTGTTTTGTTTTGTATTTTTAACCGTCCTCCACACCTGTGAGATCCCGCACGTGTCGCAAGTTTCTTACGGGCCAGCCCAAATCGTACCCGACATCGCTACCAGAGAGTCGATTGGTGGACCGATGTGATCCCGAGTCGCTGCTTGGAGTCGCACCCGCTTTTCTTCCTCTCACGTGGCAGAGTAGCGGCGTGGGACGCACCGTGGCTCCAGTCGACCGGAACATGCGCAGGAATCACGTGACACAGAAAGCTGTAGTAGGAAATCGAGAGGGAAAAGCATTCTAGAAGGGAGAACATTATAGTATCTCGAGGGATCGGAGACGGGATGGCCATCAACGGACGTCCGTGATGTTACGAGACAGATAGTGGATACCAGAACCAGGAGAGAGAGAGAGAGAGAGAGAGGACGCAGTGCATGCTGTGGTGGCAAGGGAGCAGGCCACCCTTCGCTTGGGAGCAAAAGTCGTAAAAAGGACACGCAATAGAGGACGACCTGCCCACCCGCTGCTCCTTCATCTCGTCGTGCTTTTTATCTCTTTGCCTGTGGCCGTGGCTTTAGGCCTTGGGAGCTTCCTTTTGGACGGACGCTCGGGGGGGGGGGGCGGTGCGTCGGTGCTCGTGCTGGTGGCTCCTCTTTCGTCCCTTCTCGTGCAGCTACTCTTGCTTTGCACGGAGATTGATATCTGAGACTAGCTAAGTTCCAACCCAGAGATTAACCTATTTCCTCACGAGTCGACATAATTCCAATGGGTCGCCAACCCAGTCGACCTGTGTTCGACTTATTGACCTCTGCACAAATGTCCCACGGACAGCTTGCACTCGACGAACGACAGGCGTGTTCGGTGGACTAGTTTGGCCACGCTTAACATCCGGCACTTGTTTCTGATGCACGAAGATAACATAAACAAGTTGGGAGCACATCTCGTGACACGAGATGCAAGGGGAATAGAGGACGAGAAGGAAGCACGTTGCGCTCACATGACATGATGTCAAATTTGCTGATGATGTGCTCGTATTATCCACTAAAGTATCCCACCGGCCAAGTCTCTCCAAACGTGGTGGGGTTCGGGGTGGGGCGTGGCGTGGCGTGGCGTGACCTCGACGCCGCTCAAGTTGACGTGCAAGAGCATGTCATTGGTTTGTCATTTAGTTGATGGTCCGCATCGTGCTGAGTGTGTGTGTGTGTGCGTGTGAGTGAGTGATCCAGACGATGACGTGTCGCAGTGAGCATTCTAAAGGCAAGGGTTTGTTTGAGAACATATTTAAAATATTATTAAAAAATAATATATATTTTAAATATAAAAATTAAAATATTTAATAAAATTTTAAAATTATATTTGATCTTAATTTTATATTGAAAATGCTTAATCGTTGATTTTATCTTAGAGTAATATTAGTATTTTAGTGTTTACGGGATGTTAATATAATTTTTTATATTTTAAAATATCTTATGACTTCATCTAAAATTAAAAGATTATCAAGATGATTAAGTGAGAAACCAATATTACTTATCTTTTTGACAAAATAAAATTTTATTTATTTATTTATTTTAATTTATTTAAATTACTTATTTTATCTTATATATTTGAGCCATACAAAACTTTTTAAATACACACTAAGAGCTCAATATAATTTATATATAAATAAATATTTAGTAAATTTTTTTCAACCCGTATTTAATTTTGATGATGTATTATAAGTGCTAAAATACTGATTATGTAATTCTTCACATTTTCAAAGTATATAAGGACATCATGTATGCGGTTTAATATTATAAATAATAAAAGAAAATAATTAGAGAGATAAAAAGATGACTCAGATTGAATGATCTCATGAGAATCTTTTATTGAGTACCGGCTAGTCTTAGCAATTAAGTCTTTGATAATCTATCATAAGATTCTAAATTTGATTATCATTTTTGATAAGGACATTTGGTCCCACATTGGTGGAGGGGTATAGGAACCAATGACTCATAAGTTCGTCGGATCTCATTTGATAATCATATTGGTTTCTCATTTACCCACATTGGTAGAGCTCATAAGAAATATAAAATTATGTAAGTGTTCATATCGCCTAAAACAGATAATTCCTTATGAGCCTAAATGGTCAATTCGGTTTATTTAACTATTTGATCATTCCTTTTTTTTTTTTTTTGGGAGAAATATTGTAATGGAATACATCTAAACCAGCATATTGTAATGAAATATTGTAATTACTAAATTATTAATTAACGCGAACGAGTATAAAAATATATTTCTAATCATAATTCTCTATGTTCTTTCTTTCCAATACAATTTTTCTATAAACCTTTTAAAAATATTTTATTAGTGAAAAACTTATATTTATTATTCAAATTGTTTCCTATAATATTATTTGACCTTTGGCTGACATTAATTGACTTGCTGCCAACTCCCAACTCCGTGTGATTGCAACATGAGATACATATCCTGGCATGACAACCTAATCTGCTTTACAAAGATAACCGGACTGCGACCATCTAGATTCGTGTTCCTCACAATATCCTTCCAATTGTCAGCACGACACAACACTTTCACCACACTAAAACGCATCACCATACTTGGATATGTCACCTAATGCAAACATGCTCTGACTCCCATTCGATTCTGGATCAGCAAACCGCAACTCGGAGCTGATATCGGGGCTCTGGAACGGACCATCATCGACGGTCGGAGACAGATTGCCATGTGCCTTGGCTTTCTTCTCGTTCAGGGATTCGACCTCGGCTTCCGATTCAGCAGCGTTGGGTCCTGCACCTGGCTGCTTCTTCCTCTTCGACCGCGCCCTCCGATTCTGGAACCAGTTGTAGACGTTCGTCTCCGAGATCTGGCCGTGCTGCGACAGCTCCGAGGTGATCTCCTTGATCTTTTGCTTGCTTGGAGTCCCGTTGCCTTCGTAGAATATGGTTTCAAGAATCTGCAGCTGCGTCGGGGTTGGCGTCCACCGCTGCCGTGAAGAGAGTTTAGCGACTCCTGGTGCCATTAGGGGGTCCGAGCACAGACTACCGAGCCTCATCCCTGCATTGCAGCAGCAATTCTACGGTGATTAGATCACATCTTCGTAATGGCTTTTCCTTAGGATGCCGAGAATTATGTCGAACACTTTCACCTCCAAGAGGGTTTTGTGTTATACCGGATGATGAATTGCAAGAGAACAATATCCTTTTATGTTTATGTTTAGTTTCAGCTCAGCGAAAGGAGGAGTTCACCAAATCCAGAGAGTACGAGCATGTGTGTGAAATGGAAAATGGATGAGGATCTTAACAGAGATCCAAAATCTACTACAACACCGAACACCATGCCATGAAGACACCGATGATGGATCACCCGTGAGATTTTAAGAGGGAAACAGAAAGACGCAATGAACAGCAAGAAAACATCGATCGACCCATCACTACCTCCAAGAATCGAATTCCAAGGAGTTCCCACATCCAGCAATCTACAAGTACCAGAATCGACCAAATCGAGGAGGGCAGGGGAAAGAACAGGGGAAGAACCTGAGAGCGAGTCCTGCTGGGCCGCGATGGCCCTGTGCATCTCCACCAGCTGTTCGCAGATGGTAGCGTAGGCGGCGATTTGCTTGCGCAGCACCTCCATCTGCTCGTCCGTCATCACTTTCGCGCACACCGCTCCCTCCTCCGCCACCCCTTCCTCCATGCTTCCACTCCCGATGCCGACAACACTGCGAGTCCCTCCGCTCTCCTACATCGTGATGAAGAAGTCGCCACCTTCCAAAATAAACTAGTATAAATCAAGGAACGGAGACGGTGGAGCCGCGAGGTTGGGCCGCAATTCTCTCTTTTTGTTCGCTTCTGTTTCTATAGTGGACAAGAGTTGCCTCGGGATCAGTGGAGTGGGATGGGCGGCCGGGATGGGAGGACTAGGAGGGGAAGACGGTGGTGGGAGTAGGTGGTGTTACGGAATCCTTGGAATCTAATGATGAGATGGGTGGAAGATGGTATGCTGGGATATGATGTTTCTTTGGGTGGGGAGGTCAAGCCTTCCATCAAATCGCAAAGCCTTTTTTTGTAAGACAAGAGGAAGAGACAGCGGCACTATATACATATGCCACCGGTGCATTTGGCACAATATATATATATATATATATATATATATATATATATATATATATATATATATATATATATATATATATATATATATATATATATAAATTTATATATCTCTTATAAAATATATAAATTTAAAAAATAATATTTTT